CTTCAAACCTTATTTTAAATAGAATTTCACTTGAACATTTTTCAAGTATATGTTTGCATATCAGGTATAAAATGCTATTCTTTTATGGAGTGTCACCTAATACATAAAATATTTATTAAATAGAGTATGTGTTATGTAACAACTTGGAGGATGGCGATTATGCAGACGCGTTTGTGCGGCTCCCTCGGACGCAGAGTATCGATCGATAAGCCGTTTCGCAGAAGCATACATCTGGTTGGGTGTACGCGAGTGAGGAATATCGTTCGAGAAATACGCGTCGATCGCTAATGGCTGCCGCATCATTAACGGTGCTCCGCGATTGGGAATCCTCTGAAACATACTCGACTCGCGGAAATCTTGCTTCCGAGAGTGTTTTACCTTTTGCACTACGAGCATCCATCCTATTGGAGAAAACGTTTAAATCTTGTTCGATTATAGAAATATAATGATAATCGTTTGAATAGTAAAAAGAAAAATTATAGTCTGTATAAATACATAGATCAGAAGAATTTTTAGTTGTATATCATATTTGATTAAAAAGTAAAGAGAACTGTAATTGATGAAAATATAAACTAATAATATAGTTTAAAATGTGAGTAAAAAATTATGTGAAATGGCATATGAAGGGTTCTATTAAATTATAATCTTTTCTTGAGAAATTGGTGATTAAATTATCTCGATTTTCCCACGGTAACAATGAGCAAGCAAACGAGGAGAGAAACTACTATGGTGAGAAATAGAATAAAAAGACTATCAACCACTCCAGAGATGGATAAGAGGAGGACCACTCTATGTCCTGTCTTATATACAATTTAAAATGTTTTTTTCTGTTCGCAAAGTAGAATCTGTGTCCCCCAAAATTCATTTAAAAATGATGCGTTCTACAAATATTTCTACAAATATTTTTTATTTAAAAATGACACTGTAACTAGAGGTAAAACAAATATTTAATGAATTTTATCATTTGATACATAACGTGTAATGCACATTATCATTTACATATTTACAATGATGTGAATGGTGGTAGAGATGAGCACCTCTGGGTTAAGGGTCTACGAAAGACCTCGGTGGATAATGTACACAAGCGCGCGTCTCAGGACCTCTCTCCATATTAGTATTCCCGTCCGCACAGGGAAGATCCGAGGCAGTTTCGCCAAAACTCCTACTTGTCGTAAGCAACGGATAACAAGACACGTGCTATGCAGATGTCGCGGTCAGCAATTCCCACCGGTACGCCCCGTCGTGATTTAGGCTAATTATGCCCGACCCGAGTCTCGACTAGCACGAGCTTTCTACTATAAAGGGCGTCATAACTAAAAGCCCACGGTGTTTCCTTCCACTTCCGGCGAACTATACCCCGTTCCGCGCAACGAGGCTGTCAACCTTTAGGAAGTTCGAATGCCACGAGAATTCCATTATTGGTCCGTGATTTTTATTATTTGTATTAGAATTTTTATTGACTTATAAGTAGATTGCGGATTTTATGCGATTAGTGCAGAAATGATAAATACCGCATGTAATGTATAAAACAAGATAGAATGTCGAAAGCTGAATACATAATCCAATGTTTAAACAGTCGAACAAATGTTTATATCAACCATCGTTTTTAAACTGATACCATGAATGTTGTATTTTGCACATAGATCTGTAAACTATCTATAAGGATATTTACTTCTATAAGAAAAAATACAGATTTTAAAGAAATCTGTTGTTCAGTGGTTTGTGGTTGTTTAGTTGAATTCACGTTTTAGTGATAACGTGAAATGTTTTCTCATTCTTGTTTGCACCGATAGAAGCGTGCGTTACACAGTGTAAACTTGTAAACAGACTGAGTAAACACGTTATGCTATCGATATACGATTATCTAATATAACCTCGCTGTTCAGCAAACATACTACTTTTTCGGAAGTGCCCGATAACTCCGTGATTTATAATTGCGTCAGTGGTGGTGATCACTGATTGTAACACGTTTTTCTGACCTTTTTCTCACTTACTCTCATCGGAAATGTGATTACTATAAGAAAAAATACAGATTTTAAAGAAATCTGTTGTTCAGTGGTTTGTGGTTGTTTAGTTGAATTCACGTTTTAGTGATAACGTGAAATGTTTTCTCATTCTTGTTTGCACCGATAGAAGCGTGCGTTACACAGTGTAAACTTGTAAACAGACTGAGTAAACACGTTATGCTATCGATATACGATTATCTAATATAACCTCGCTGTTCAGCAAACATACTACTTTTTCGGAAGTGCCCGATAACTCCGTGATTTATAATTGCGTCAGTGGTGGTGATCACTGATTGTAACACGTTTTTCTGACCTTTTTCTCACTTACTCTCATCGGAAATGTGATTCAATATACTCGTTATTACATTAAACAATTCAAATTTTTATAAAAAACATTTTTCTTTCTTTATTAAACAAAATTTACAATTTCACAAAAATTGCAAGTACCTTACAAATAGTATTTGTGATGTTAACTCGAACAATAGTGTCTCTGTGGATTTTATACTTCAACATGCAATCATTTATACTGTATACAAAGAGAAGCATAATATCCTGACAATTGCATGGCTCCAACCCACGCGCGAGCCATCGATGTAACAATAGTAATCGCTTAAACCGTACAGAACAATTTGAACTCGACGATTATCACTGCAACCGAACGGGGATATCTCAGGGTCAACCTGCTCCAATCGTTTTCATTACAATCGTTCCTAATTACAGCTCGAACTCCGTCTAATCGATCAAATCTCTTAATTAATTCTCGAGGAGGCAATAAATCAACCTGTCGATTCACTCTTTCCTTCAATCAGAATAAACTATTAAAGTGTTGTTAAGAATCTTGTATGTCCGAAAGTATTAATTGCTGTTCTTTTTATGTATTATTCACTTAACTTCACTTAAGTCCTAACCCTGACCTACCCTACAAGTCTAAACAAATATTAAAAATCAAATATTATTGACCAAATACTACATATTAAAATGTCGAAATTGAAGCAGGCTTGTTATTCCAACTGAAATCTAAATACTTAGAAAGTGCATAAAATTGAAAATATGATTAATCTACAGAAAAACCCAGCAAATATTTATACAAATCAAGAGTTATCGACAAAATGTTACAAACATTATTTGAGATGATTGTTAGAAAGGAAAAGAAGTATTTTCAAATTGAAACAGGCTTGTTATTCCAATTCAAATATGATCTAAATGATTGGAATATATAAAATTAAAAATTTGATCATTTACTGAAGATGGTGATCGAGGCTTGGCTCGATTGTGCGTAGCCGGTGCTGGAGACCTTGTGATACTTAAGCAGAGTCGCGTCGGTCATAAGTCGTTCGCTATAATAAAGTATTGACGAGGCATGTACCGAGGTACGGATCGAGCCGATCTCCATCACCGCACGGTGAGCACGAACAAAGGACTGGTCAACCAATAAGTGGTTCGAGGCCAAGGAATACGTCGCCCGTTCTTATTATTCGATGATTCGTAAATCGGTTTCAGGTCATTAAAATTATCCTTCAGATCAGCTATTATATATAATTAATATTTAAGCTTCATTTCTGTGAAGACTCTTGTGTTTCCTTTAGGATATTTATTAGTTACACAAATAAAATTGATTAACTGTGAAGGAAAATTCTATGATTCATTTCACTATTATGTATGACATATTAAGAAATTATAAAGAATGCTCTTCGAATATGCAACATCAAAAAATTGGCTAAAGGGAAAGGAAGTTGTATTTCTCTTTTGTATAATCGGCCCCAAAATTAAGAAAACATTACAATTTTCTTTATAAGAATAATTATTGATAATTTAGCTTGAGCTAAATACTTTATTACAAGACTAACATATAATTTCGAATAAAAGGAAGAACAGATCTTTTAAAGTTGGATGTACAAACAAAATATTTTTAGTAAATTTTTATAATATCCACAACAACATGTTCTTGTATTTTATCACTACAGTCTCAGTAGTAATTACTGGATTCTGAATCTTTATGTAAGAGACATATAAATGCATTTCATTTGTACAGATTTTTCATTCATATAATTTCATGATACGAAATTTACTTTAATTGTTTCATGTATTTTTGGATATTATACATAATAGATTTATTTTTGCACATGCAGTTGCATGCAAATTCGCAGACTAGTTTAATTATTATCGGAGGACACGATATTCGTTGATTCCCTTTATGAGAGAAGGAAAGAAAGGTGGAAGTCAGCCTAGATTACTGGTGACTCGATTGTCGAGGTCAAGAGTCATCGAAGTCATACAGGACAACGCGCCTTATGGCGGTCCCCCTTTTATGCCGGCCGGAGGATGAGATATTGAAGAACGGTAGCCATTTCGTATCATCAATTCGGGCAACGAGCGACGACAGGACAATAGTCCGCCACTTGTCCACCGCATTTTTTCCAGAAACCGAATTCCAGCCCGCCTGCGGCGAGCCCGTTGTTCCCCTCTGTATCTCCCGATTAAAAGCACCCGCGATTCGATCCATAATACCATCTGAACATGAATCACACGTACCGTAGATCACGCATACACGATCGTTCCGTATCACGAAAAAAATTGAATAAAATACATACCCTATGTGCACATTATTTCTTGCCAAGGACTCAATCGATCATCAGGTCAAGCTTCACCTTTCCAACATTGTAGTGGGATGTAAAGAAGGATATTAATTTAATCTTAAAGTCCACATGTTTATCAAAAGACTATGCATTTTTATACGTATAGAATTGAATGCGAAAAAATATACCTACAAAAATAAATAAGGCAGCTAATATAAATTAATGCTGCTATTAAATTCAGAGGATGGAAATGCACTTACAAAAATGTAATTTTTTCTGAAAATCCCCAGTTCATGTTGCTCCTGCAAACAGACCCAGATAAAAATATATTTTTCCCAAATAAATATTTGAAACAGTTATTTATTTAGTAAATACTTCAAATCATTTATTTAATCAATTATTTCATTTTGCATTTCAGGTGTCTGCGGGTCAGCACATGCAGCTCACGGGCGATCTAAAGCCGAACGTGTCGGTGGCGGCCCAGCAGGGTATGTACTTCACGCAGCAGCCAAGCCAAAACCAGTCAGGACCCGGAGGCCAGACCGACACCTACTGTTCCGTCTCCCAATCTCAGACGATCAACTTCACGCAACAGAGTCTGAGACAGAGAGCGGCGGCAGCTGCCGCGGGTGGCGTTCCGCAACCCGCGGGTGCACCCGGTGCTCGAAATCACCCTCAGCAAGTACCACCGAATCAGGTTGATCAACACCAGCACGCGAAGATCATCCAACAGCAGCAGCTGATGCGTGCTCAGCAGGTAAGCTTTTTTATACTTAAAATTAATGTATAAGATAAATCAGTAACAAGTAACATTTGAAATTATATCCACTGATCATTGATTTCATTATACAATTTGCCGAAAACATATTTTAGTTTGACAACATTTATTTACATTGACGCGCTTCTTCATATTTCTTAAATCAAGGAAAGCCTACGAAAGAATTAATACAATTTTAATACACATTCATACAAAAGGTTGCATCACCCAAGCAACCCGGTGGCATAAGTTTAAATAGTCGTAAAAGTAGAACGATGAACTTTGGGTTAGAAACAGTAAAAAGAATAAGCCACATGCTCTTATCCGGATGACACACGAGAAACTAATTACGAATCAGAGACTATTTATATGAATTTCATCATCTGGGATCGTATACATTATTTTAATATAATCATTAAATTATGAGATATTGCATGTAATATTTCTTACTGATTCATCTTATATTGGCTGATGCAAGAAGTACCCAATTTAACAATTATAAAGTTGAGATATTGTCATTTAACGATATGTTTATATAATTTCTAGCACACAAATTAGGTTTGACTAGTTCATTTTAAGAAAAGTTTTCACACTGCTAAATGCGAAATAATCTGACACTATTATAGTCCTCATATAAAATGATTAAAAGTTGCAGAATTAAGAATTAAAAGTCCAGCATTCGTACTGGTAAAATTCTGAAAAACTGAACAGATTGAAAATTTAAAATAAAATATAAATGTAACAGTATTTCATTAATAATGCAATAATGTTTCAATATTTAAATATTTCATACAACAGTATTTGGTGCTGCTTGTTTCACATACATTAACATAACATTTCTGAGCAATTCGCATAAAATACGAGTATAATAGAATTTTATTTCACTCATGATGCAATAATATCTGATTAGTATTTGATGCTGCGTGGAATATTTTGGAATAAGCGAGTAGAGGGCACGATCGATGGTCTCGAAGTATTCCCGAGATGTCTTGCACGATACCCGGTCGGTATCCAGGGCGTGAACGGGCTAGTTTATGGTTTAATTATCTAATGGTGGAGAACGATCCCTATCTATGCTAATACAAATGGCGTTTCACTTGTAGTGGTTTGGGGAAACTTGATTAGCAACGGGTTTAGTTTAATCTCGAGTTCATGGATGCAATTGTAATTTTAATTCTATATATACTCTAGTATGAGGAACGGAATTTCATATTTTCATATATCCTGATATTCTTTCATAATACTTATCATATTATATATACAATAATTAAACTATATAAATATATAATCATATATAAAAGTATTCGATATACTACACGATTCTCATAGTTGACACGAGTTTTGATATATCTAAATTAAGTTTCTTAAATTAATTTTTTGAATCATCTCCATTTGCTTGTCACACATTAAACATTTATACAAAACGAAATAACGCCTATAGACATTGGTATATCTCCTTGTGCAATTATTACTTTCTGTATTAAAAAGTACACTTCCATAAATGAATTGCAAATTATTACTTTACTTATAATTACATTCTACTGAAGTCGTTCTATGTAAACGGTAGTTCAACTGTATATTTAGAAACATTAAGTCGTCAGCATGCAACAGGTCCTATCGCCGCTCCTTCGTAGCAACTTCTGTCACGTTGAAAGAAGCGACGCGACAACGCAAATAGGGCGACCGCGTCTCGCAGAAGTCGCTGGAACAATGAATGGAAATTTTTCTTTACCACCACTTTTCTATTATTTAGGACAAGATGTAAAACACGTTAAATGAAAGCGTCTTCTTCCATGAATGACGATGATATTTGTGCGAATTGCCAAAAACTTATAGCTTTCGAGATATTAAAAATATATTGTCACTATTATAGTATCTTTTGTTTAAATGCCTCCCTGCGAACGGAGATAACGTACGACGCGTTTTATTTTTATCGCATGCCAATCGCGATAAAAATAAGCGAAACACCAGTTGATATGTACAAGGATACTAATTGCGGATAAAACGATGTACAAAAAATCAATCTAATGAGAAGGTTGTCATTTCGTAAACAACATGTACAAGCGCATTTATCCAAGTTATCATAATTTCAATTAGAACGCACTGCGTAGCATTATTTTTTGTTATACATGTTTACTTTACCTGTACGCTAACACTCAAAAGTATATAGACATGTGTTATTGTTTTAATATATGATCGGAATTATTATTGTTAAAACAGTATTTATTATCAAATTCTGTTATTTTAAGTACTTTATTGGTAGCCTCCCTATTATTTCCAAATTGATTTAATTATGACATGATTTATTTAAGTTCAGTGCGACTTTTTCATGACTCATTTTAGTCTGTCGCTTGCATAGTGTCCAAGGTAAAAAGAAAAATACTTATAGAAACTGGAATAGAGTTATATTATACATTTCCGAGTAATGAAAAAATTAATATCCAGAATGTCAAGGCTAGTAAAAATGGTATTTGAACCATACGATAAATGAAAATTAGTTACTGTTAGTAAAAGATATTTAATGAAATGTTGAGCAAATATATTTCCTAAATCAAATAATCTATCAAATTTTATTGCATAAGATTTGTAAATTTTTTATTAACATTTGGTGTACAATTTTATGCAATTCGCAAAATTATGAGCAGTTCGATTTGACGATAGGATGGTATAGAATTTCGTTTACTCCGAAACGTAAAGCTTATCGTATTCCGTGAATATTCCAATGACTTCCACAGAAGTGATATAGCAGCTAATTAGGAACTGTAATTGAAATCAATATATGTAGTCCGAAATTTAGATGCCTCGTAATACTGTCCTCCAACTTACTGCTTTAAGAAGTGATATTATAAGTTTTGAAACGGGTAGCACCACAGAATTTACCAAACATAAAAATTCAATAAACTTTATTATCTGATATTTGGAAACTGTGATTAGTGTATGCACAGTTTTGTGAAATTAGATTCAGAATTTGATCAGTTGTTTTTGATTAAATGATGAAGACGTACACGTAATGTACACGCAATGTACTCGCAATAGGATTTATTAACGAGTGACTCACTCGTTTATAATACCAACGTTATTCTAACAACGTTAAGGTATATCCGATCATGCTCCAGTTACTAATTGTACGTTTCGCGCAATTGGTTACTCACTCTTCGTCAACGATGACCTTTCTTCTTCAATGTATAATCATGCGATCACTGATTTTTATGCAAAATATGCACAGATCTTTTCATACTAAATACATCTTGTCTTACTTTGTTCTTCAAAATTGTTTCTCAATGCGTAAAAATTCGCAATCTACTAAACACTTATACTATACGAAGTGAGAAAATCATTTGACTGAATACAATACTGTAAATGCATAATTTAAAATAAAATATGTAAAAGTGCGAATATTTTTTTGTGTTTTCAACACCGCTACACTTTTCGCAATCTTTATTGCATCAACAAAGTAACAGGATTGCATCAGTGAAATAATAATTCTGTTGTATTAATTAAATGCATGATTTATTCCATCAATTAAATATGAATTTTGATTGATTTCATTTATACAGCGTACTATGATACAAGTTGAATTTCTTGGTTTCCCATAACTGAAATCTAATCATTTTGTTGATTTTTTTTAGGCGATGCAGCAACAACACATGGCCGGTGGTATGGGCGGCGTCAGACCACCACCACCCGAATACAAAGCGGCCCAGGCCCAAATGATGCACGCCGGTATCGGAATGGGTCAGCAAGCCAGGTTTCCAAATGCCGGGGCCATGCGAAGGGTTACACAACAACCTATGCCACCTTCAGGTAAGTAAATAATTTCCACTGCAGTCTATTTAATTCCAGCATGTGTGTATGTACATACCTTCATACCTAAATATAGGACTTCATATAAAAAATTATACTTGTTAGTTTTAAAGTCTCGATTCAATCTCAAAATATCTACCAATTAATTTGGATAGACATGAAAGATAGATGTAGGATTAATGATATGAAATGATGTGAAACGTAAAGAACATATTTATTAACATAAGAAATGACGATTGATATAATAAAATGGTAATACATTAATAAATATGTTATTAAATTATAACATATATATATAAATAATAACGTACATTGGATATTCATCAAACGAAAGGGTAGACAATTACTCTCTACGAATTTTTTAAATGCATAAATAGTAATGGTAGAATGTTGAATCATGTTGATAGTGCAGTCTTGCGACCAAGAATGGAAAGTTAGGTGGCACGTGTGTTGATAGAACTGAACTGCTATTCGAATCCTATGTTATCTACCCTGAAAGTGATGGCTCATGTATATACTGGTCAAAGCCGAAAGGCACTCAGGGTAATGAGACGCTGGGTTCTGCTATCGATTCTTCCGTCTTTGCTCAAACGCTCTTTCACTTCGTGAGGCTGTTCCATAGTTTTAGTTTTCTATGGTTTCAATTTTCCACTTTTTTAGATTTCGATTTTTAGGTATTGGACTGATAATCGATAAAATTCGTTTAAATTCAGTTGTGTTGATTTCAAATTCCAGGCGGCACTCTTACTTAATAATCGAATCGTCTATAAGTGTCTGATTTTGAATTGATGTTGGAATAGCCCAAAGTTTTTACTATTATTAATTAATTTGAAATATCTTTAAAAGTTTTAATTGGAAGGTAAAGATTTGTTGGAAATGCATTCTTCAGAAACTCTTATTGCTCGACAAAATTTAATAACTACTGAAAACGTGGTATATTTATTCTTCGTCATCAAGTGTATTAATCATTATACATGTAGAATCGTAACGCAAATCCAGTAAACCAGACCTTGAAGAATAAACGGTGAATAATGGATGAAAAACATTTGATCTACCATTCTAATAATGTTTACACACTTCTTAACCATCGGTTAGACCAAGTATTCACGGAAATGAATCCAATACGTTGGATACACTCCACACCAGAAAGAGTAAGGCACTATGAGCACAGAAGGGGAAAAGGCGGGGGTGAAAGTAGAGGAACGGGGATCGTAAATATTCTTATATACCGTGGAGCTTGTACGAGGCACCTATTGATCTGCACGGAAGCTAGTTTCATAAGATTCTGTCCCGAACTTTCCCAAATCCACGAGACTACGTTTTCTTTAGAATATCTATAGTGGCTGCAAAAATATCAACTGGCACATCCGCCTGTTTTTTTATTAAATCTTACACAATAGTTCTTTTATTGATATTTTCCGTTGTGTGAATGTAATATATGTATAAGAGAAATGACGTATGTGATGATTAATAAAATATTAAATATAATATGATTCATAAATACGGTGACTGTATTGTTTTGAAGAAAATAGAAGAAAAATTGTTTCATAGTGAATTTCAAATTTCTGATTTCAAATTCGAAAAGAATGTGACCGAAAACCACTGCACAACGAGTTTTATATAAAATGGACCAAAAATTTCTGAAGTATACGAAATGTAAATGCTCCACGTCGTCAGAAGGTTAAATAAAGGATGCATGGTCACCGTATTCATTAGATGATCCATAAAGCAATTTATAAAATGGCTTATAACCTGATCTAACTAACGATGATTTATTGGTCTGTTTAGGTCCGATGATGAGGCCGCAAATGGCGCAGCAACAACAACAGGCGTTGCACGCGGCTGGCGGCAACATGTACATGGGCGGCGGCGGCGGTATGGCCGCGATCGGCGGTATGCATCAGATGCACCAGCGTCTCGGTTATCCCAGGACGAACAATCAGCGGCCGCCTAACGTGAGCGTCGGCCCGGCCGACGGCCTTGGGAATAGCATCGCAGGCCGTGGCGCCCAGCAGGAGTGGCGACACGTTCTCATGCAGCAACAGGGCTTTCAGATGCGATCGCAATTCAACCAGCAAGGTCACCAAGGTACGCATGCTCTTCCCTTCCCCATCAAACGTTTCCTTCCTGATTTTTGTGATCCTTCGCGTTTTAATAATTAATGTTATTATAATGACGGGGTAATGAGAAATATCGTATATAACAACTTGTTTAATGATTTCATCAAAGCATACTGTGTATGAATACAAACTCATTATAAACAGCTTTATATTTCACGTATGCTGGATCTATTTCTTTATTTTATTATGGTACTGTTCCAAGGAGGAATCATAATTGAAACTCATAACTGTTTCGTAATTTAATTTAACTGGCGGAATTGGTATTAAATCATTTGGATGCGTGGGTGCTGGTTTTTCAGGTGGATTCGGCATGGGTGGTACGGGCGGTATGCAGATGAATGCGGCGCAGATGCAGCATCAACAGTTGATACGGTCGCAGCAGGGCGGCGGAGGCGGCGGCGGCGGTATCGGTGGCACCGGCATGGCGAACAGCACGCAGATGCAGCAGCTACTGTCGCAGCAACACCAGCAGCAGACGTTGGCCATGCAGCAGAGCAATAATCAGATGTCACTGCAGATGCAAATGTCGCAATCCTCATCAGTCAACTCTGTCACCAGTACCGGAACCGGTGAGTCTTGATTCTCGTCTCTGATTCTGTTCGGAATATAATAATCAGAGGGCAAATTATCAATTATCGGCACTACTAAAATAATCTACATTATAATTGCATTAATAATAAAATAATTTATTCGGATGTTTATTTATTAAATAAGGATTTTTAGTAAGTTTCATATGAGGAATTAAAGATTCCAATGATTGATCACCTTACAAGATATTTGATTAATGTCTCTTACATAGCTTTTAAATTACTTAGAGTTAATAGACGAAAATATTGTAATCTTTCATAGCCAATATAACCTGGAAACTCTTCAAATAAAGTAAAAAGAAAACCGGCATACACATACATAACATTTTTATATCTGGTTGAAGATTTTAATCACTATGTAGTGCTTCCTCGTTATAAGTCGCGTTTGAACCGATCTGTTGTAGGTTCGCCGTTGCACCCGCACCAGCAATACGGCGCGGGGAGCCCGGGAGTGCGCAGCATGCCACAGCAGCAACAGCAACAGCAACACGCCCAACCGGTACCGGTGACGAGTACGGACCCGTCCGTGGCCGCCGCCGACTTTAGCCTCGAATTTCTAGAGAACCTACCGACCGGAGACACGTCGAACTTCAGCGCCCAGGAGCTGCTGAACTCCCTCGACTCCACGGCAGGATTCAACCTCGATATTCTGTAAGGCCACGCGGTCTACTCGGAAAATCGGATTTCCGTATAGAAATTCGTTCACTGACCGGTTGTCAGCAGGCAAAACGATGCGCGAACGTTGGGATCGATCATTCTAAGGTCATGTTCCTCCAGAAAGTTAAAAACTGCAGTAGAACTTCATTTACTCGTATTGATAGATTCTTATGATTGACATAATAATAGGGACGTTCGCTGAACAGTCGATTGATCGATTGAATCGATTATTTTCGTTCATGTAAGAAAAGTTGAAAATTGTAGAAATAGATATCTGCTCGAAAATAGATTCGAAACGTGAATATAAGAGACAGTATCCTTAAATAAGTAAAACTTCATTTATTTGAATCGGTAGATGTTTTATAATTGAAATTATAACAGGAGTTCACTTAATACTTGATTATTATTTTGGGTTCATATAGATCTCTCCTTAAAGAAAGATTCATGGAAATAGGAGGGTTAAATAAACTTCATTTATGAATCTGTTAGACTAGCAATTCGGTATCATAAATCTGCGATTTATGATTTTGCATTTTATCAAAACTCGAAAATTATGTGAATTTTTCTGAAGATATTGAAGTTCTACGTATATATTAAATGAAATAAAAAATAAAATTTATACGGATAAATGAGATTATACTGTATCGTGTCCGTCGATTTAAGGAACGTTAAGTTTAAAAAATCAGTGGAAGGTGAGAAGAGGTAACATTAGGCTGGTGTAAAGATAGTTGTGGTTTTTAAATAAAAGTTAGTAATTGCATTAAAAGCCACAATTACTTCTGCACGAATCTGATGCTAACTGTTGGTGTTCTACTGATTTTCATGGAAGATCGCGTCTGCAAAGGTCCAAATACGTTCGTGAAACTGGCATCGAGGCACTCGGGTGTTTAAATCGGCCGAACCGGACGACGAGAAATGACGAATAGTACATAAGTAATAGCAAAAGTTTCTCCGATTTTCGGAAATCGGGGATTATGTTTGATCCGGTTCGACGATGGCACCGCGACAACCGGTCGTAGTGCATTTTCGGCAGCTAATACCTTCGGCTGGCGACTATTCTTCTAGGCAATCACACGTTTTAGTAAAATTTAATTTCTTAATGATCGGCGTAACGATCGCAAACGCAGCAGAGGGAAGAAAAAAGAGAGAGAAAGAGAGGTAAATAAAAGCAGCGGGCGGTCGGCGGTGTAGAAAATCAAGGGATACGCGTGAAAATTTATATATAAAATATATATAGGATGAGCGAATAAGGACTATTACTAAAAACTATTTTAATACGAATCACAGAAATAAATTATATCAAGAATGCATATACAAGATAAGCAAAATGTGCTACCCAAATCGATTTATTCTATACATTTCATTAGGCTTCATATATAATAATTTGCATGAAAACATATCTTTACAGAAAAATTGGGTAAAAATATAATGAATGCATGTTACATGCAAAAATGTGCAGAACCCTTCATTATTATTGAAGAGTAAAATAAGGATTTCATTTTTGTTTTACTTAACAATGCAGTCTAATAAATAAATGACCGTTCTTATTGGCTCACCCGAGACCGTCTCTTTATTTCTCGAACTTTATCGGGTTTCCAGAGGGAAGATCGATCCCTCTCGAGTGCACGCGTCGACGACACTGACTTCGACGCGCACTCCGTGGTCAAACGAACCAAACTGTTCGATTCTCTTGATTTTCGACTCGCGATCATCCAAGAGGAAAATTCGTTTCATGGTTCTAGAAACGGAACAATCCTTCTAGGTCAGGTTGCGAGAAGTACAGATGTCGATGATGTAACACAGAGGGAAATGAATTACTCCTTGTCCTTTCTTATTTTTTGATAAAAGCTAATACTAAAAGCTAATATCAAGATGTTTTTGCTCAAATGTAATAAACTAACGGTAAATAAAGACATACAAGGCTTTATCGTCCAATTTTCAAAATTTTATTTTACATTATATAAAACAAATGTATGAAACAGTTTTGCTCTTTTCGGTCTTTCATTGTTTTTACTCAATATATTATTACTGCATTGATCAAAAACTTGTCAGTAAGGGGTAGTTATGTATATTCTGTCCATTATTTCGTATTACATCGTCGATGTTTTTACTCTTAACAATCCTGCTTTCTGGGATTTTTCTCGATCGACTGCTCGACCAGTCCGCTGAACTCTTTATGGCTAATTACATTATTACGATAATGATAATGGCTAGAACTAAAGTATAGTAGTGTATTTAACGATCGACCGCGAAAGGTCGGCATCGCGTAATCTACAATTAACAGAAAGTCAATTATGAGATATATATTATTCCGATTCCCGATGATTCTTCGTCGTTGGAGACGAGAAACGGAAGGGACCCGATCGATCGGGCCACGTCTAGGTTATGTTTGATAACGAGTAGAGAGAAAGAAAGAGAGAGAGAGAGAAAGATAGGAGAGTAGAGGGAGGCTAGAATGCGAGAGAAATGGCGAGTGTGAAGACGAATCCTTCCTAGAGAAGCGTTAGCGTTGTTACGAGATAAATTCGAATCTTGACTGTAAATAGGTTTACACGAAGCCACACGAACAGGATGAGAAAAACGAGCATACGTACACACAGTTCATACTCGCTCGAGTTAATAATTCAAGACGAGAAGTTCTCAAAGTTTAGCCGATTAAAGTTAAGAGCCCTATGATATAGGTAAAAATATTCTATAAATATATAAATAAATATAATGATAATAGTAATCAATAATGACGCGCAAGTTACGAATGAATGCGAGAGAGAGGGTGTTGTACTAGGAAAACGGTTATAGAAAGTGGAGGGACAAATCGAGAAGGGGTGGTGAATGTTTTGAGAGAATGGGGTGAACGAAAGGGTGCATGTGTTTCGCCCGGCGATAAAGCACATTTCCTCGACCCGAACGTATTTATTGAGTTTTTAGTTCTGCACGGATGTGCTGTGTCGCTGAATGAAGACAGGCTGCACACGAAATAATCACGAGTTCCAGCGTCGCTGACGCGATGAACCAAACCGGATCTTCCATTCTCTGTTGGAAGGATAGGTAACGCTATCAAATTAATGACGTTCAACAAATTCGAATTAGAAGTGTAAAATGTTCATTCTAAATGGATTATTGAATATGGTTCATCGTCTCAAGATGATGGCTCCGCGACTAATCTTCCAATAGTGATACATTCCATAGATGAAGGAAACGGAGTTAAGAATTCGTCTAATCAAAAGTATCGTTTCTAAAAAGAGGAACACGTGAAACAGGATGTTTAACCAGGAAAGATTTAGGCTAGGGAATATATTGAAATGGACACCCGGTAGAAATCTGAGAAAGTAATAAAATAATCCTCGACCGTTCGCCGAAATAAGTGTGCATGAAAATATACTTTCAGAGTTTCGCTCGTCACTCGATTACATTAATCAAGTGCTTGAAGTGGCGCTTCAACTTTGAGCGTCGGGAATCGCGTGAAAATTAACAAAGTCGTTCATTTTTAACGTGAAGAATAAATAAACTCCCTCGAATTGGGCGAAGCGACGTTATTATTGTCTTGTAAAATATTGGGGCCACGAAACATAATCTAAAATGACATAAAAGAGAAAAAAACGAAAAAAATAATTATGATAAATAAAAAGTGGAGGGAAGGAGACAAATGCTCTGATTGTGTCGTACCGATTTTTTCAATGGATCTATAGGGAAGTGTAATAATCCTCCGAACGGTGGTTTGTTGCGTTCTCTTTGCTTTTCTTTTTTCATAATGAAAATGCGGTTTTTTTTTCGTGAATGAGAGAATGAACGTGAAAGATTGGGAGAGATCGAGAAATACGAAGTGGGGACGAACGATTAGGAGAGAGCGAGTAAAAGAGAGCATTAGGGACCAACCAAAAAACAAAAATGAGAGCAAACAAGTGTACTGGTGTCGATTGTCGCGGTGGATCGTTCTTATCTTGTTTTTTTTATAAATATAAATGAAATCGAAACGAAGGACAGGACACTGTAGAAAATGAGACAGCATAGTCTCGGACTAGTAAAACGTAACCGTAAACGAAACTCATAAAACTTTCGACATGTTCCCTCGTTACTCGATCTTGTATAGTTTAGGGAGAGGAAGGAAAAAATAAGTAATACTTGCTTTGCTTCGCACTGTCGACAGTCGATATTGGTCAGACCGAAGAGAGAAACAAAAACAGAGAAAAGAACAGCAAATGGCTCCCGGGTGTGTGCCAGTTAACTGAAGGAGTGTCCCGCGCCGGACGAATTACACCTAATTATTTATAATATTTATAACTTTATACGATACCGCGGGCATTTCGCATAGAATAAAAAAAAATTCATGTTGAATCTCGTACTGTTATTAATAAAAAGCGTTGAGTTCCTACTGATCGTTTCTTAATTAATCAATTCTGAACTATTTATCGTCTCATCGAAAGCCGGAAGTTTCCAAATTGATTTATCCATTTTCCACTCAGACACGTACGCGAAAGAAGATTAGAGAAGAGAAATCGACCGTGACTCGATCAAATTTCGCATGAACGAGCGTTAAAAGAAAAAAAAATGCGCGCAATGCACGCCACAGACGTCGAATTTGACGTAAATACCGTTCTCGCAACGTTAAATTCGAGACAAATCGAGCCGTTTTAAATGCTGCAAGTAATTTAGACGAGCAATTTCTGTAAAACAATTAGAATGCTGCTCGGACAGAGACCGAGATTGAAATTTAGGACGTTAAGAGCATGGCTCATTGACCTATTCAATTGTAACACTATCAATATTAGCTCCACAGCACCTACAGTAGCGTATATTCCTTTTCTACGTTTTCCTGATCATCAACCATTAGTTTTTTTATATTATGTGCAATTTAAAATTGTTTCAACGATCCTCATTATTTCTGGAAATTAAATCTTTGTATAAAAGTCAATAGCGATCGGAAAGATGGTAAGGAAAAAAAAACGGCGAAAGCAAAGAACAGCAAAGTGCATTTGCACTCCTCGCGTGATAATTTCAACGAAACTTCGCTCGTTATCGATTCCTTCGGGGTTGTTGTTACTAAGCGGATTTCGCGCGCCCGAAGCTTAATCTTCGTTTTCCGTGAAACGTTTCTATTAACCTGTACACGGCATAGGGCAGTCTTTGCTGCCACACAATTCAGTTTAGTCCTGTGTGAATCCAGCATCTCGCTTAACATTCTATGTCAATTTATATGATAAAATTTGCCAAATTGTAATTTTGAAGACTACGCCCCTGTTCTTTTTAAGTATCATCGCGTAAATTTGCTATGTCCTTGTGCCTCGATTTAGTGAAAGAGCTGCAATAATTTAACTACAGAATTAATGATAGTGTTCTTATTCTCATCCTCTGTGGACATCTGCAGTGAAATTTTAAACACGTTCATATCATTCGTTTCATTGGTCCATTTCTAAAAACAGTTTCTTAATCAAAATTTCGCCTCAGTTTTAAACTTGATGATACCTCGAGAATGACTCGTGTCCATATAAACGCGTAGGTGCTTATGGTCGGTCGGAACGCGCGCGCGTGTTTGGAGGATCAATATCACGGTTAGGGAGAGACCAGACTGAAAATAGGAGTGAGAGTAGAAGCAGAAATGAGGGATAAGGATTACAAGAGGAGAGGAAGGAAACTGGGGGGCGTCCAGGGTGGAAGCCAACTCGAAAATATCAATTCACCGGTCCTCGTTTCTCTTCTCCGGAGTGGCTAATTTTCAAATCAACTTTTACGATTTATAATAGAATTTTTATCGCTCGCAGTCCAATACCCTTGGTTCATGCTGATTGAGTAATCATACTGTCCTTGTTGTCATTCCTTACCTTCAGTGCAGCTTGGATAATTGAACTTGAGATTATACTTGAAGCCTTCTTTTCGATTATGACTTATTGACTATTTCTAGTCTCTTAAACAATACACGACCTTCGTTTTATTAGTTTAAATGAATTTTGACATTTTTTGCGTTTTTTATTGCCATTTATTGAAAATGCAAAAAACTGTTGAAACTTTTAAACAGTTCAATTTTTTTTTGTACTTGTTCCAAATTGTATTTTCAATTAACTTCTTAAGAATAATTACAAGTTTTAAACAAAAGAATACTTTTGTCCCTAAAATAAATGTAAAAAATTGACAAACAATATCAGATTTTGCAGATTTGCACATTTAATTAATACAAGCAACGATCCACCAGTCGACGTCGACATAATTTATTTGTATACAATGCAAGAATTAATTGTGGAACTCTCCATTAGCTGACCTTTACGATCGAGTAAGACATGACCAATTTTGCATCAAAATTAAGTTTCTTATTCAAAGATGCATTTTGTTGCCAATTAGAAACACGCGTAAACATTGGAAACTCGTAAAAAGAAAATTATATGTATAAAAGAACAAAATAAGACATGTATCGCCGCAAATAATTTGTTGAGCGATTTCATTTGAGTTGTGACGGTAAAAATTTTTACCAGTTAGAACGTGTTTGCATGATTTATGCTAAAACGATGCATCTCAAAACTCGTTGCAAAAGTCAGCTAAACCGAAATAGAAATATTTTCTATGTTAACCGAGAAGGAAAAATCAGCATTACTTCTAATACATGACACAAAAAAAAATCATAAATGAGCAAAATTGGACAGGATATATTTCACTACTGCGTGAAGCCATTTCCAGATTTTGTATTCAATTTATATCCACTTGTCTTGCATATAAAATGATTTTGTACCAATACTCTCTTTACGAAAACAGTCATTGAGGTTATGTATCATGATAACATCGAATCGAAGCCTCCTTAATATCCATAACTCAGCCCACACAATTGTTGACTCTTATACAACAATACATCTCCTTTCCCAAAAATTAGAAAATATTACATGCTTTTTTCTTGCGTCATAAAATGTGAATATTTTTGTTTTGAATACAAGTACATTTCATTAATTACACACATTATAAATTGAAAACGTTAAGAAACTTTCAATTTAGGTAATCAGTAAGTGATCTAAAAATCTAGCATTTGAGAAAAGTTATCCTATAAAATCTAATTCGTTCTAAACTAATGTCTAAATACTTGGGCCTGTAAACCATAATTCTATTTTATTACTATACGTAAGAAAAGCATTGTGATATTTTCTACTTCTTAAAGTTGAATAATCGTATACTTTACACGGCATTGGAAAATGAATTTTATTTTTTTCAAGGTCGGTCTCTTCGGTGAACGTTTTATTCATTCGAGTTTCCGATAAAAATTTCGTTTTTTCAATTGAAGGGACCATCCTAATCTAGGAGGACTACGGGATCAGTACTTGTAATATTTTAACAAGGAGGTTTCGTTGAACGGTATACAGTAATAAACGTCAACTTACTGATAGACTGCGGATTTTATACATTTATAAAGAGAATACGAATGTGACTCATAAAAGAGTTCGAAAATATTGAAATTGAATGCATATTACAATTTTTAAATATTAAAACGAATTAGTATATGAAATACATTCTTTTGTATGTTCTAGTTTGTATAAAAATCCGCAGTCTAATTAAACAACGGCGACAGAGGTATGAACGGCGCATCTGTTTCTTCATTTTCCTTCGTCGTACTGTAAATAGCGTTGTAGTAAGTCTGAAGAGAGCAGTTAGATAGGGACAAAAAGAGAAACCGAGCGAAGCACGTGACTGTAATTTTTGCGGCTGACGGATAATCGGCGAATCGCCATACTATTGCTTATAGTCTTGGCGTTTTCTTTCTCGACCGAATTCACCGCGAGAGGGGATCGAGAATGCAAAACGAAAGTCGTTTCTCTCCCTTCTCGGCGAGAAATTATGCCTCGGACAGGTCATAGGTAGACTGCGGATTTTTATCCAAAATAAAGTATTCATCGCATCAGTTCAAAAGATATATTTGAAACAAACATTTCCCTTGGCAGTTAAATATTTCAATATGTCTTCAGTTTTTCGTATCCCGAATAGTTTTATATATTATGTGCAGCATTTATAATTCAGTTACCTTATGAATGCATGAAATCCGCAGTATGGTTATAGGATAGGATCCGTGACGCGGTATGTAATGGGCGTGCACAGTGACAATCTTGGTCAACTTATGGAAATCTTGCGTCTACATCGATTTTAATCAAATTGATATATTAAAAAAGTGGTCTGAGTCAAAAAATTGTATTAACAAAAAGTCTCTACTATTGAAATATGAATCTATGTGACATAATACAAATTAAATCTCAATTTTTTTATTTTTTGACGTAGACTACTTCTATAATAACTATAATGTAATATGTAATAGAGAGCAAGATTTTGAATAAATTTTCCCTATGAGAGAATTGCAAGTCAACTTTACTTTGCGAGATATTTTCAAGAAATCTTTTACACCCTCGGAACGAGCTCCTTCATTATAGGACACTGTATATGTACAAGAAGATAAGCGACGGCTATGAGTCAGCATACATTGTCACGAGGCAATCTTATTTTACAAGTAGCTCGCAAATTAAAGTCGACAGATACTTTGCAGAAAAGAACATTTGCTACAAATCTTGCCCCCTATTACGTATATCAATTTGATCAGAATTGATGAGGAAACACGTTTTTTGCAAGTTCTCCACAATCTTGAACAGTAATTAAACGATTCAGTCAATTTGACATTGATAACATTACTGGAATCGACAGGCGATATGCACGGAAGTGACTTGTTGATCTTTTAAGCCTGGATAGATACTGTACTCGTGAATTATAAAAGATAATGGATCAATCTTTACTTTATACTTAGAAACATTGTTGTATTTCAAACAATAAGTATAAATCTGTTTTCTCGAGATATTTGAAGAAGAGCGAGTACAAAGAATTTGTGGGAGACCCCTATCTACTGTTGCAAAATTGAACAGTATCATTCTAGGATTAATTGTGAAACTGAAATAAAGAAATGAATCCTTAAGTAAGTGATATTTATAAATTAAACTCATCTGGACAAGATTGATGATTCTGTAAATTTAATTTTATACACATATGTTTAATGCAGTTTTCTTTATAATGAAACAAGAACAATTATTTATACGATCGATAATTTATTCAATTAAACAGTTTATTCACGAATATCAGCGATAAATTTCTAGAAATTAATAGTTAAATGGGAAAGGATGAGCCATGGCTGGTGCCTCCGCTGCAGATTCATCGACGCAGTATAAATACTCTCTTCACGTTATTATTTTCAACGAGATTGTGATATATTATTATTGTTAATAACCATAGCTAAAATGCGTTGTTTAGAAGTGGAAAACAGGAGGTGCCGGTATGAGTTCTCTAGAAATCGTGTTTCCGAACGTATAATATACATTTATTATAATGATAATTTGACCCATTCGATTCTGATCCAACATATAGAAATGTAAACTGAATCAATACGAAGTACCATTTGAAATTATACTTTAATTGTAGATTTTACAATAGGCATCTCGAAAATAAGTTTAATAAAATACAGGAATATATCCACTGTCTTATGATGCACAGAATGCCTTTTTTAATCAAATCAATAAACATTAATTTCAAATGCTAGGTCATATTGATTATGTATATGAAAATGTTGGGCTAGAATTTAATGTCAGGACGTCTATATACGTGAAAAGTGTGAAACCGTTAACTTCGTGTTTGCATTATGAAATCATCGATACTAATTATGATATTCGATGATCCGTGCCGCGAAACTTACGCCTCGCCGTTTCTTTCCGTTCATCAGGTCATTGAGAGAAAAAATGAGAGAGAGAGAGAGAGAAAGAGAGAAGGCGAGGGATAGCAATAAAAGAGCGAGAAAATAGATAAGAAAGTTAGTGCAAGTTGATCGAATAGAGTCCAGGGAAATTATGCCTGTAAATAAAGAAAACAGAGAGCGACAGAGAGAAAAAGTGGGAAAAAGAGTGAGAGAATGACAGAGAGACTGAGAGAAAATATGAGAGAACAGTGTTGCGTTAATAATTATTTATTTTGCTGATCGAAGCGGATTCGATAGTGAATTATAATAATTCGTAATTTAACGCGAGAAACGGAATAAGAGTGGAAAAGATGAGAAATCATATACACAGATTATGTACATAAGCTAATGGGTAATATCACCCTTGGTAAAGGATAGTTTACGGATAGTTATTTTTATTGCTATTATTATTTCTACGTAACTATTATTATTATATTATTGTCATTATTATTACTTATAATTATTGTCATTATTAATATTATCATTGTTGTCCTTCGGCCAATGATCTCAAAAGAAAGATAGTAATTGCGTTCGGATAAGATTGTTAAATCTGAGCCGATGTATCGATTTCCGTCGAAGGCTACAGAACAGAACGACCACCTTATTTTTCGTTCAAAGCAAATTTTACTGCTCTCCATCTTATTCCTCTACTTTCATCATTCTCCATTTTGTTCGTTCCTTTCTTCCTTCTATTCTTCTTATTTCTGGCCTATGTACTCTCTAAACATGTTTATGACGCACTCGGAGCGAATCCTTCGTCCACGGTTCGTTTCCAGTTACCGCAGTTACCGTAGAGTTCTGTTAACGCGTCTTTTTAAAAGTAGTCGAGTTTCTCGTTTCGTCTCCGATCATTCAGATTTTCTTCTATCTTGCAAAGGCACTCGGTAAATGAGTTTATGAGCGAAAGTTCCTTTTTCTTTTTGTTTGCGATTCAAATCTGAGTGATTTTTTGCCGCACGAATTCGCGTCATATCCTTTGCTCTCGATTGGAAGATCAAGAAGACACATATATTCGTGCGTCGAGAAATCGTAGGCTTGACATTGATTAAAAATACAAGCGATTATTTCATAAGCCTTTAACAGGTAAATGAGTAATGTTAAAAGTTGATTTTCTTCTTATTGTGAATGGCAAAGCGTTAAACAATGGTTTAGTTTCGTCCCGGATTCGACGAGCCCCTTGTGCAGGGAAATCGAATAAAAAAAAGATAAGGAAAGAGTAAAAGAAGAATAAAAAAATACTAACTGGTGTTTTAGTATGATGTAATTCGAAAGTGACCTATTAAATAAATGAATTCAGTTAGAACTGATAGCGGTGCAGACGCTGATCAAATTATTCATAAACATGTTTTATCAAACGAGAGTCAAGACATTTTGTCATGTCTTTGTATATTTTTATGCAATGTTGTAGAATGATATTGTTTTTCAAATATATTATACAGATAATAATAATAAACAAATTTATATGCCATAATCTGTTTTCTATTTCCTTCAAATTACACGTGTGTTCTTATATGCATGTCCAATATATATACATTATATACGTATATTTATAATGTAATGTAGATAAAATATAACATTAAGAAACAAAAAACTCAAGAAAGTATTAACAATGTGAAATTAAACACACGACTTCGATTTTGCAGGGATTTACTTCACGTTCCTAGTAATTAAGACAAACAACATTCTGTAAGATTATATCTTAGGCCATTGGCAATGATTTTCATATAATAATTATAATGAAAAATGAGTATTCTTTACAATTACCAATTACTGATAATAATTTTACTTCGGAACGATTGACTAGAATTATTTCTTCTAAACTTTTTCTTTCATTGTACTGCGAGTTTTGCTTCCAGAACTTCGATAAAATTTAAGATTCTTGTAGCATTTGAGAATCGGATACTACTTTTAAGAACTGAGCTGTTCTGAAATGTAAAAGAACGTACCGTCATATTCAATTGAAAACCTTCAGATCTAAGAGCAAATAATAGTTACCTTCTATATGTCGAGTAATCATTTTTCCTAAAGTTTGCAGATACAGTTTAGGAATAAAATCTCTCTTTTCGTGATGACACAAGCATTTTAGTTTTCCAGAGAATCTTTCGATCGTTTGCTTTTATGATAATCCATTATCGAATAAATTGTACCCTGTGCAAAAATTTTAAATATTAAATAAACTGAAGTGCGTATCTAGGAATATATAAAATTCAATTAGTCACTTTTACTACCATTTTTGGTACACTTCTATTGGGCTGTTATATTTTAATTGAAGTATTATGCGAGAACATCACGCTATATTTCAACCTTCTTCTAACAGTTTGTTCTCTAAACCATTACTTAATTCTTGACAATTATCGAACTAGCGTGCTTTGAAACATCGTTTTTCCTTCAATAATGTAAATTCATAGAGAACATCGACATTGGATAAAGCACTGCCCAGACGTAATTTATCCATGACCACTCAAATTTAAAAGTAAACCTAGAAAAAACATGACTTTGGTATTTAAAATGCAGGAATTTAATCAGTACAGAAACATTTATGGACTAAACGGTGAATCGAATATTATGGAAATAAAGTTTATAATTGTTGAAAAATTGAATATCTAATACAAATGCTTGTAAATATAACCACTTCCTATCTCTATATAAGTTACATCCTCGGAAATAGACATAATGAAATCTAAAGCAATTTAATGCTATAATCTTCGTTCACACCGTACATATATGTAAATAGTAACAAATTAATGTTATTTCACCCTACCATCAGAAAACAAATTGATCATCCTGTCCATGATCCTGACAACAATGTGCAGACTATAGACTGTAGTCTATAGTACAGTACAATCTCTTTCGAATATTCGTAAAGAGTTAACTTCAGATTATAAGTCTGTTCACAAATCTATTTATGGTTATAACAATTATAAACGTAGCTATAAAAAATAATCAGAAGCATTTTAAAGGAAAGACATCTGTGCTATAACATAAAAAAATTTAATAAAATTGATTGTCTGACGAGAATATGTTGGCGAGTTCGAAGGGTCGCAAGGTGGTGCCAGCTAGTGGCCATATGGGTACCAGTCGACGGTGTCGCGACGCCGCGACGTATTTGTCAATACCTCATCGTTTTCACGATTTTCGCCGTTCACAAATGACTACAAGAGATGAACGCGTGATCTTGGCGAAGTGAGTGATCCGAGTGATTCAAGGGTAAACGGGTACGTGTTATTTGAATCGCGATCACGGGGTGCGAAGTGAAAAATTCGATCGAGAGGCGCGGGAGAGTTTCACGGCGCGGAGAAAGAGACACATCGAGAACTGTGGCCGGGACTCGGTAGCTGGGTAGCTCGGTAGGTCCGTGGCTCGGGTTAGCTGAGTATACACATCGCCTATCTTATTCCGAGGGTTCGAGGGGAGCGCGGCAGTGAAGTGAGTGCAATACCAGTGAAATATCGAAAGATCAGGGAGTAATAACATCGGTCAAAAAGAGCTGACGTGAATTCTTAACATCGAAGCATCGAATAACCGGGCCTACGAATGCAGTTTCAAGACGGAGTCGCGTATTAAGATGTGAGTACGGTGTGACTACGAAAAAGATACACACGGCCGTTCGTTGCGAGGGCCGGATTTCACGAGAGAAATTATGGGGAAAGGAGAAGAAAGGGTTTCGTTGCCAGTGAACATTGCATTCGTCGCGACGGCTCTCCACCGAGTATAAGACAACAGAAAGCACGATTGTCTTCGTAGACGGTACGGAAGACTGCCTATTAACGGCTTCTCTAAACAGAAATAATATTCCTTTAAAGTACAATTCATTTACATTTGGGATTCCGCACGATATGTATCTAATGCCCAGTACCTTCGCGCTTAATGCGCGCACGCCTCTCTCTTTCTACGCATACTATCGTGCGTTTTATCAAAGACGTGCCGTTTCTATACATGTTTGTGCTCGCACACCTACGAATATCGTGACAGGAACGCGAATGAAACCGGTCTTGTCTTTCAAACGCTTGAAGACTCGTTCCTTGATCTCTTTCTTCCACGGAAACGTCACTCTCGTTTCACCTTTCGAATTTCGCTTCATCTTTCCAACCATTTAACTTACTTAACTCGTCTCAAAATGTGTTGCGCTTGCTATGAAACATTGCTCGTTTTTATATGTATATTCTTATTCATTCCAGGAAAATGATACATTCTAGTGTGTAAATATTCTTATCTTTATGACTCATTATCCTGTAGATTGATTCACTTTGTTTCCGATCTCGATCCATTTTTCGCTTTATATTTAAATAGTCGAAGTAGACATCTACAGCGATCCTCAATTGGTTAATCGATTTTATTCCTCGCGTGTGTATTCCGAAATACCTTAACTTTTCAGTGAACTTTATTGGAAAAATGTCAGTCTATCCTTGTGTCACTTTAAGACCATTTTATCGACGGCAATTCTATTTTAGTAAAAGGAATTTTCGAACGGATTTATATACACTACAACATGAAATAAATTTATCGTTCCTATACTTTCGGTACACGATTTTTATAGTTAATCCTTAATGGAAGTTGTTAGTATTAAACTGCGGATTTGATTCATTTACGGAAGAATCATAAAAATACATCGAATATCTAGGAAAATATAGAACATTCAAAGAGAAATATATATTATTAATTTTAATGGATTGTTGAATGACAAACTAATTTATCACTATTCTATCTAAGGAAGAATATTCTTACTCATCTTGACCTCTTTTTATACCTACTCATCCTATCCCTATTTGTACCCTGTTTTGGCCGTTGGACTTGGCCGATTACTTTCAGCGAGTAGTTATAAGGGCAACCAAAATTGTACCATCAGGCAGATTTCCAAAGTTTCTTGTGTATGGAGCTATATCGACTAAGAAAGTTCTAAAATTTAAACTTAAGAATTGTATTTAATTCCAAACTTGGACTTCAACAGGATTGAAGAAATTCCTATCCAAATTGGATTTTCTAAACTGATGTTACAAATGTCTTATTTTAATAATTTGTGATAATTTTGATTATTTATATAAAAGTTCACAGTTGTTACTACGATTAACCGTACATTTCATTTGCTCGTACACGGTTTGCGATAGTCTTCGGTTTGGATGTCCATCGGTACGCCCATGCATTTATATAATCGTAGAGGGGATATTTTTGAAGTGACACACGGCGATGCTCGCTGTTCGAAAAGATGTACGATTCGGATGCAGGAGAGCTCGGACTAGGTGTTCGGTGTATCGCGTTTACGTAGAGGCACGCGTGCAAAGGGAGGCGGCGTCGAAACTGAAGGTAGAGGAGACGGTCGTTGGCCGAAGGAGAAACGACCCGACGAGTGTTGCTCGAGTCGACGGAGGAGAGCCTGTTTCGCTACGGGGAACACGTTCTCTCTGTCTCGGTTGGCTCCGGTTCGAACTCGGCGAACAAACGATAACGTTATCGTGCCCGCCGGAAAGGGAGAAATATCGGCGACATTGATTATCATTAGATAGTACATGTTTATGCACGTATGAATTTTCACTTGCAGCTACCACTTGTCTGATAATACTTTTTATTGTATTCGTTACTCGTATCTTTTTGGGGATGGCTGTCTGCTGAACTAATTCACCTATTGCTGTGTAAATGTGAGTCGTTTGTGTCCAGCAAAATTAGTCCGCGTCAGAATATTATTTGTTTGCTTGGAAATTAGCAACTAATTAATTTTTTTGAAATATTTTTATTTTTCTATAAAGAAGAAGGTTGACTGGTAATGTTTACATCTGTTGAATACATTTTCCATAATTGTAACATATAGAAAAACATTGCACAGTAAGTGTTAAGTACAGTTACAAGTTTCTTTATCTTTACTCGTTTTATCTAACAATGAGCACGCAGTTAAAGCAACAGAAAACGGATTTGGTTGCAAGCAAGAGGATACATGAAGAAAAGAGTGGCGACATGAAAATCCGAACGAGCCAATGCAGTCACGTGCGAGATGTGGAATATATGTTTGCGGCAATCGGCATCGCGGAGGTCAATATACCGTTAGAGACAGCGCGATATCATCTTCTCTTTTCTCTCTTCTCTATTTCGCAGAGTACGTCCATCATCGCCAGTTTACGGATGTCGGGCTTTCCATTTTCTCGAATATAATTCACTGTAATACACTGCTGCTCGCGTTTACGAATACCGATTCTTATACGTAGTATTTGCGCTGTATGAAGATAGTGTAAACAACTTTAGACGTTCACTTTCAGGGGCTAGGGTAGTCACGTGACGTTTTCTAGCAATCGTCGGTTTTTTTATGTTTTTTGTTCTGGTTTGCCGATAACCATATAAAACTAGTGGAACATATGAATCTACACCAGTCGATTCTACATATTTATTTGTTACAAAATCAAAATGAAATTCAAAAAATGTAATGTTTAGTTCTACATTCCGGGGCACTCTGGTGTTTATTTTATTCGGAATAATCTCTCTGGCAAAAAACTGCTTATAATCCAAAGCATAGTAATTACGAGGTAATGTAATTTTGAAACGATAGTTCAAATTTCAAGTGAATATCAATATATCTCTAATTCACTCAGTAAATTAATGTAAGAATAGGTTTCTCTTTTTATTAATTGATCTTCATACCACGCTTCTCCTTTCGCGCTTGTCTCTCTTGTCCCTCACAATGGCAAAAGTACCCGACCTGAGCGCGTCGTCGTCCGTGCTCGGCATATTCAAAGCACAAACTGGCGCTTGTTCAAACTTGCTTGTATCATTTGGTGGTGAAAGGAAATTGGGCCTGCTTTTACGAAAAGATTGATCATGCGTGCTTATTAAGCTTAGAGTTACGCCTGTAGCTACTTTCATTTATATCTTCACTATTCAATTGCAATTTTCACTCACTATTCTTTACCTCACACTCACACACACGCACGCGCGCGCGCGCGCTATTAAATATAGGTACACAAACATGATACGCTATCAATACAATATGTTGTAAATGGTCACCATGTATGTATAATCTTTTGTTCAGCAGTTTATCGATACCAGTTAAGAGCTAAAAGATAAAATACTATTATAATGGGTGTCAAATACTTTTCTTGCATGTAACGGTGGCCACATCCGTTTGCGGTAAACTGGCGATAGCGAGTTAAATATAGGTCAATCCGCTTGATGCGCGACAGATTAATGACTCAAGTGGCAAAATATTGATGCACGATACACGATGTTTGTAACATCTCTTTCTAAGAAATCTTAATAAGCTCTTTTCCAATCGGTCTCGCTGCTAACGAGTTTTCAACGGTAAATAAAAGATGTAGGCAGTCCGTCGCACGTGATATTTTATCAAATTTAAAGCCATGCTCGGATCGACTTCTTTTAAATATTTTCATATTCGATCCTGAGTTACGTTTTTAAAGACTACTACGTCATTATTAATACTCGCACACGTACTTAATCTGCCTATACTATGTCATAAACGTGTTTATGTTTATTCAACACGTATTCATTCTATAACGCATTCGTTTATAAGCTTCGTTATTCTTAAAAGTTTCATTGAACGTCAGACGTGTCAGATTCTTTATACAAAATTTACTTCTCCTTCTACGTATGTATCTCGTTATAAATATTTTAGAGGATATTCCACGTTCCATTTCTTTCATATTTTCTACATTATTAAAGGACAAGGGTTAATTGGTCTATCATTTGATTCGTAAAATATTGTCCTCCCACAGTTACTATGTACGCTATGTACAGCCACTATGTACGCTAAAAATGTTCAGTCTGTTTGCGTGCATCTAACGAATGCGCGCGGTGTTCACTTCCTTGCATTGTTAAATATTAACGGGACCCGTCTGTGAACTGTAAATAATGCTTTTTACCTGATCCTGTCTGCGCGTGTAAGTTTCGTGCCGTGTAGGTACATCGGGTCCTTGACTCTGTCGTTGCCAATAAGTAAAGTGAACCTTTACGTAAGCACTTTCTATCTGCTCGATAGCATCGACGAAAAACTTCATCCCACCAAGAATCAAATCGCTCAGCGAAATAAGTTTCCTTCTCTGATGTTATATACTTCAGATTTTTCTTTCCATTATATAAAATAATGTAATAG